GAAAAATATCCCAACTTCACAATATGTGCTTTTAACTTAACAGAGCTCTGTGGTTCCTCAGTATGAGAGTCAGGGTGAGGAGGCATCATGTTAGGAAGAGAAGTGCAAGCTGCAGGATTTTCAGAACAAAACCGGCCCCACCTCAGCAAGTCTTGCAGTGCATTTCGGAACGATGACACAGCTAAAGAATAGTAGATGTGAGGTTGTGAAATTAAGTATTTGGCCCTTTACCTCATGGTTTCATATTTGCTTTTTTTTTTTTTTTGATGATGATGTCTTTCAAGCATTTATCTACAGCCTGTACTGGAGAGGTTCTCAGCTATTCTTTGTTCTCAACAAAGATCTTCTGTATGGCCAAGAACATGAATTTGCTCCCTCAAGGTATCTCAAGAAATGTTTTCTAAACTGTTTTTATGCTTTTTATTTCCTGTAACATTTTAACATTAGCTTCTGTTTGATAGAGAAGGTGATGTTGCCCTACAGCTGCTGCCAGTACTCCTCCCTGCTCCGCCTTACACATTTGGGAGAAGAGTTTTAGACCCATCAACCTGGAAGTTCAGAAGATTTTATTGATATCCAGCCTGTAAGTCGAAATTCATCTCTGAATCATGCTCCAATTGTTTGCTGTTTAAATAAGGGCATCACATTCAATAGTGAGGTTTTGTGTTAAACTAGAATCACTCTAAAATGAGTTTTCGAGAATGTAGAGCAATTCATAGCAAACTGTTCCAGCCAACCTTAAGCAGATCAGTTCAAGTGAGTTGGTGTCTTGTACAAAGATGGCAGGAGGGAGACGATCAATAGAGAGAGTGTGATGTGGGAACTACTTCCGTCTGTCATGAGGAGGAAAAAGCTAAACAGGTATTCAAAGCACTAGATTACTGGTCTGTCTGCTTTCTGTCCTTCACCTGTGGTCAGATATATGAATCATAATATATAAAAACAACAAGATCCCAAACACAAAAGGCAAAGGGATTTCCTCCATATTGTGACTGAATTTATCCTGAGAAATAAGATCACACAGCTCATTAGAGACACTTTCAAGAGTTTGTGTTTGACATATTTATTCTTCAAGACATCAGGACATAGCTACTTAGCTTACACAATTTCGGTCTCCTGGTGACTCTTACAAGAATGTAAGAGGGGAAGTCATGGCTTAAAAATAGATTTCAAATACCTCATGAATCTAATAGGCTACTGAAATAAGCAGCGAATCCACTTACTCTGATGCTCGTGATTATACAAAAGGTGTTTCAAGAATTTTATGTTATTGTTTGAAAATTGTTTTGACCTGTTTAGAACACTTCTGCTCATTCAGTTGTTGGCTCCTTAGCGATAAGTATGCTTTAACCGTGGGCCACCCAAGCTCCAGTGTGGTGGTGGTCAGTTGACTGAGTGACTGCACCTGGACAACAGTATTAAGTTTCAGTTGCTTCCCGAGGCCATAAAAATGTTAGCTGTAGTTCGCACGCGCTTGCTTGAGCATGTGCTCCTCCCATTCGTGTGCGCGAGCGCGCGCGGCCGTGAAAACTGAAAGTTGGTGAGCAGACGTTATCTAGCCGTTGCCGATGCAGGCGAGCAGAGAGGAACAGGGAGACAAAAAAGGGCAACAGACGACAGCGGAGAGACTTATGGATTAATTTTACCCTACGCCATTTTTAGAAGACTTTTTGTAGATAAACAACGGCGGAAACCTGGTGAGTTAACCCGCAGTGGTCGAGTTTTGCTCTTCTAAGCGTTGGGGAGTACTTCATAAAGAGTCTTAACGCCACTGACAGTAGTTTAGCTACCCTGTTTTTCACAGTTCAGCCTTTCAACGGGGCTACCGTAAGCAGAAGGTACTAAACCTATAAGTAAGATTAATGGTTATATATCAACACTGTTTTGCTATATTACTGCAACTTGGCAAAAGAAGAAACCTTGGAACACTGATTAGATGAAAATTGAAGTCACATTGTGAAAACATCTGACTTGGCTTCTAATGTGTGGTGTAAAACGGGATCTAATTCTCTTTTGCCGCATTTCAAAGATTGAAAGATAAATTTAATCATCAAGCTCGACCTTTTTATTTATTTATTTTATAAATCCAAGAATTGAAGTTTCTATAATTTCATGAGTCATTTTGCGAGGTTTCTGTTTAGGGACACGTGTGTGTCATCTCTATAGTGACACTGTTGAGACAGAAATATAATCATGCTTGGCAAGCATCTTGAGTCCACTTTGCCTAGTATCTGTTTGTCATGAAATGAAACCAGTTACCGTTAGAAGTTACTCGGTTATTGAGTAACAACAAACAGTGAAGACTGTGCATATAGAGCAACAAGCAAAAGGAATGTTGACAAAGACCATTTTTGTGGTTTTTCTGTAGAAAACATTTGATGGATAGTTTGTAGATTTTGTGAATCTTTTTACGTTACTTGACATCATGAACTCTTTTACACTACTCCCAAATGTGTAATAGTGTAGCTGCTGTGCATCAGTGGCTTTTGTTAAAATTAGCTTAGTGGAAAACAAAACAATTTTTGTGAGCTCTTGGTCGTCACCCTTCTATGAAATATCGTTTTATAGTACAAGTAATCATGTAATGTTTTTTTATTCATTCAGTTTAGATACTTGGGTATAAACTTATTTCTCATAATACTTCATATTACCAAGCAACTTCATATTACCAAGCAACTTGGTAATATGAAGTAACTTCCACATGGTTTTGGATTTCCAGGGTGCAGTTCTTTTTGTTGCATCATTTTATTTTTTACTAAGTCTTTATATTGTTTTGTACCACTATTTTGTTTTAGCAAGGAAATGCACAGTCAGTACTAGGATGTTGTGTATGAAAGGATTTGTTTGTTCATGTAAAATAGAAGCAGTAGGGGACAAAATTAGGGTTTAAGAAATGCTAAAGGGCAGAATCTGTCCAGAGCAAGACATTTCTGTCTCCCAGATACATTTTATCTTGTGAATCACTCTAGATGCTAAAATTGAACTTTCTTGACTTGTTTGTTAACCTGGAGCAGGTCAAAGCTTAAAAAAATATAGCCTTATGAAGGGATTGACTAACTATTTGTGGCCGGTTTGGAGAAAGTAGAAATCTGAGTATGTGAGATTAAATTTCTTACTAGAAGTATTAGTTTCTGAAAGCACATGTTCTTTGTTTTGGTCAACTTTAAATGTTGGCCCTGAACTGGAACCTGTATACACTGATGGCACTTTGACAAAGGTCTTTTCAGAAATGCTCTTTCTAATACAGCTCACACTCAAATACTTTATATTTTAGTTTAGAGAACTATTTTAGCTAGAAAAACAGTCTGACTTATGAAGCATTTTGTCAGCTGGAATAATATTTTATTATTCAACCTATTTTAGGTTGAATAATATTTGACATAAGGCTAAATGCCAGCTTTTTTGCTGTGCGGAGTTTGGATTACCTCTGTAGAAAATAAAATCCTTATCTAATCTTTAGTGGGTTTCCAGCTGAGGTGTAAAGTGTTTTAACTAAATGACACTGCTAACATAAGGCTGCCTTTTTCTATATCTTTATTTTTTAGATGTATAATTTCTCTTCTAATTTTAAGGTCATTATTTTCAGTCCTTCTTAAATGGGGAGTCTTGGTGATGCCCATGGGTGCTGCCAATTATATTGAAATCTCATTAGGTCTGTACTACATTTACTTTCTCATTAACACAGATATTCGTACTTCCCTGTTTTATACATCTGCAGCATAATCTTTTTACTGCTACTTAGTAAACTGCAATATATTTTCTTAAGCAATATGCATAGAAATGAATGATTATTTTAATCACAACTTTCTTCAATTTTTTTTATTTATTTATTTTTGCAACCATGACGTTTGATTCAGTTTTACAAAAGACACATTAAGCACAAATAGCAAAGGTAGGTCAACTATTAATAATGCTGAGTGAGCTTTGCTCGACTTTGGTGCTTCAGATGCAAATTGACTGCAGGGCAGTTTAGAAATATCAATAGAAATGGTTCACATGTACTTTTAATTGTCTTGTAGAGCAGAGTATCAAATTGCCATCAAAATATCAGTCTGCAATATTTGATGGCTTGTTTTAATTTAGTTTGGGGGTTTTTCTATACGCTGACAATTTATCTGTAGCTGCATTTCCATTACAGATGTATGCAAAACCTTGTCAATATTCCCCTAATGTCAACAATCACAAGGGAATAAGTTTGTTCATGTGACAACTTAAAAAAACATGCTGCACAATCATCATTGTCATACCACTTCCTGTCTTTTTGTTGTGTCTACCAGAAGGGACATCTGGTGGTCACGTTACTCATGTGATGGACATAGTGTTTCCACAGCAGTTTTGTGAACTATGCTAATTTTGATACAGTCATGCTAGGGCAAAAAAAAAATTTATCAAAAGACTTCCAATTTTTTTTAATTTTTTTAAATTGGCATATTTCCTTTTAATCAAATCTGTTTTCATAATTCAAATTTCTGCAATTTTACGGTCAACGGAAACGCTGATGCTAACTTATGACGCAAATTTCAGTCCCGATCACTGCAAATTCACTTTAACGCCATTAAGTTGCCAAGTCAAATTCATGCTTCATTTATACAACTTAACATTTACTTGATTGTGACATAATGTGCTTTGAAAACTGGTATCATCACCCCATTAACGTGAAACCAAGGTAAATGTATTTTGGCATGCAGTAATGATGTTGGTGTTTGATCAGGAAACAAATATCGTTTTGCTCATATTTTAAAAAACGTGACTTGTTCATATGATGCACTGCATCATCCTGAATGAGCATGTGTCTTTGTGGCTAAAACATGCAGGATTTGACTGTTGTTTTATGTTTGGGGAACTGAATGTATCATAACACACCCCTCTGTAGGGATGTTCCTTTAATTAAATGTTGACACCACCCAGAACGGTTGCAAAGACATTTTTTAAAGTTTACGTAACTCTGTCCTCTGTACTGGAGATAAAGTATGAGGAACTTCATGTAGATGTATGGTTTGCATACGTTGACAAAAGAGCAGTAAAATACAGTATATAGAATCTCAATAAATGGTTGTTGCATAATTGTAGCTATGTCTAGGCTCTTCCTCAGTCTGCTTCAGGCTTCCTGTTCTCAGTTCCTGAGGATGTGCATGGTCAGTTCAGCCAATAATAGCTCACAATGGCAATAATCTTGCAAGGCCCAACAGAGACATTGATTCTAAAGTAAATGGACAGCAAGCTACAGCAAAGAAACGTCAAATATTTACTGGAAGTGACAGTCATGATGGTTGTTACAACAGTGTTTTACAACTCGATACACCTTTAGTGTAAAAAGCAGCTGTTACCATTCTGCTGTCCTGCTTGGCTGAAAGCATCGTTTGACTCCATGTTTTGGTTTCTGGTTTCACACAGAAGTTTTATTTGTTCTGTGCTTTTCATTCTTATTATCGTTCTAAAACAGTCGGGCTGCAAAATAGAAGCTGTCTTTTCCTTTTTTGGTAATGTGGTAGTAATATAATGTAATTTGCAATAACTTCAGTGATGTTGAAGTGTTTGCCCCCTTACAGTTTTCTGTCTTTGCTTTTTTTTTGTCACTCTGAAATAGGGCTGTAATGATTCAAATCCTGTCTCTAACATGGACACTAAAGTTATAAATGTTTGGCCAAGGTGAGAGTTCATCAATTAAATTGACTGAAGATAATACATAAACTAA